TTTAAATATTGAGAAAGTTTTCTGAAGGGTTTTACAGAGACCGGATCTCTGAAAAACTCAGTGGAAAACTTTTTCAAAACCCAGCTCTCATGGCATTAGAAAGAGGATCATGAAAAACCTATAAAAACATGGTTCATGAAATTTTAGTTCACTCATAAAGCTAAAGTCCGCTTGCTCTAGCTAAAAATGCCCACTGTGCGCTGTAGATCACGAATAATAAGAAGACGATATTTATCAACCGGTAGAGCATCGAGAAAATCCAAAACAAATTCATTGTTTCGTTCTAAAAACTCGTAGTCAACGTGCACCAGGAATCCATCAAATAATTCACTGATTTTACACAGAAGCTGTTTTGTCATTTGACCGTGTGCATCAGCTATGTTCATTTTTCTTGGTTGTGATGGTAGAAAACTATAGCCGAAATCAATATCAATCGTTTGTTGAAAATAAATAGACTGAGTTGACTGTTCGAAACTAGACATAAATACGGCATTCATCAGTGTTGACTTTCGGAAGCAAGGTCCAACACCAAAGGAGAGAAATGTTGGTCGATCATAGTTCCAAACGTGAAGAATCTCTGGAACAATTTGATAGTGTGCCTGTTTTTGTTGGTGTTGGTCAATAATTGTTGGATCGACAAAGGGTACTGGATGTCGTTTGCATAACAAAGAGAGAATCATACGTCTTAAAGAAATGTCGGATTTCATTAGCAGAATGTGTATCAGCATTCGTAAACTTATTTTTGGCAGCGTAGCTAGTTTAGCACCAAAAATTTGTGATAACTTGAATGACAGAGCTTCCATAAAGTCATCTAAATTTTGATGTCGTTTCAATAAATACATTAGAGGGGTTAAGCACTCATTAACGAAGAGAGAAAAATTCCAGTTCACAAGAGCACCGCCAACAATTCCTGCTAGAATTCCATCTCGTGTTTTACCGATATACATCAGTTCTCCGGCTTGAACTAAGTGAGATAAATACAGCTTTTGATGTCCTCTGATGCACGATAAAATCAGTTTTGATTCAACAGTTATAAGTTCCTGTCGATTTGCTGAAAAAAGAGTAGATAACAACATCAACTTTAGAAATAGTATTTAGAAGAGTCATTACTCATTTCAGATTTATCTCTGCCTTTTCAAAAGATGGATCCTTAGTATTCGCTCGATGCTCGCAATTTGAAGAAGGCATTGGCGAAATAAACAGAAGTTGAACGCTTCTCAGAAGTGCTGATTACTGCTATAATTTATGTATTTTTTACTGCAAAATGCACTGATTTGTAGAAAAATGCATATAGAATATTGTAAAGTTCACTGATCGAGTGCTCAAGAGTTGCTCTGTGCGCTTGTTGATTCCCCTTCTTACGCCTTTACAATCCAAGCGACTGTTTTAAAAACTTTGGTGTTCTAAGATCTTTTTCTCGAAGTTCTCGTTTTGTTGTTTCTGGCAGTTCGTCCTGTGATTTGTCGTCCGATTGTAAGTGCAGTGACAGTTGGGATGCTGACATAAATTCTGGTGTTGTACTCTTACGATCAGTTGTTCTGACATCTAATGAACTTGCAACTTCCTTTGCCTCGGAATCCGTTTTCGCTGGCAAAGGAACAGTGTCGGGAATTGTATAGTAATGAGGACTAACATCATTTTTATCAGCAGCTGAAGGAGAGGCAAGCACTTGGTCACGTGACGCTTGAACGACTGCATTCGGCGGTAGAGCAGATTGCGTAGACGAAGTTATGGTTTGTGTAAGTATGTTGAGTTTTTCGGAATTCTGGAGCAACGAGTCATTCATCAAAGTTGAGAGTTCGATGTTAGCTGAAGCATTCTGCACTGATAGAGGAGCATTTGCTGTCGCTGTGTTAACGATTTCAGCAGAATGACTGTCTGTTTTCTTTTTGACTAAGTCATCAGGCTTTAGCAAGTTATTATCATTCAGATATTGTTCCAGTGATTGAATTAGAACACTAAACTTCTTCGATGCAATTGAATTTTTAACTTTCAGATCGTTTAAACCTAGCCACCATCCGTTGTTGACAACACAGTTTACTGTCGTAGGCACAAGATTCATACGATTTGTAATAGCATTTTCTTTAAAAAGAGCTTTCAGTGTTGGTTCATAGTACTGCTTGAGTGCTAAACATAGCGGACTTGTATCATCAGTCATTTGTACTTCGACTAAAGCTGGTGGTAGAAGCTCGGAATAGTGTTTCAAACCTTGACGACCGAATGCAATAAGTGTTTTCCAAATATCATCAAAGAGTACATTTATTGTTTGATCATCCAGATCAAATAAAAACTGTATTACTAAAGCCAGAATTGAATTATCTTTCTGATATTTCGAACCATATTCTGCTGTCCGCGTTAAAAATTGATCATACACACCTGGCAGTTCTACTTTTTGTTCGCGTAAAAATGTTTGAAACCATTGTTGTTCAGGAACCGATTGCCATTGTAGTTCAAAATGCTGTTTCAACAGTGTTAAAAGATGACTATCGTCACTCATCTGTGCTGTGTAAACAGCTGGTGTAATATCCGTTTTAAAATAAATTAATCCTTGAAGACCTGTTGTCAGCAGTTGTGCAACTTTGGAATCTTCCAGATCAAGAAGTTCCGAAATTCGGAGTATGAAAGTGTCACAACCGATGGTAATAGGCAAACTATTTGTAGACTCACTCAATACTTCAAAATCCATCGAAGAGTTTGTTAATGACTGTGGTACGCCACCATCATCTGGTGCATAGTTTGATGCCATATGAACTTGGAAATAATGTTCTTGTACCCGTCGTAATCTAAAGAAACTGCCCTTTATGACATAGGTGGGTACATTGCGTAGTAGAGCAGTCTCTTTCTTTACAAGGTTGTGCTGCACGAAAACTGGTCTTCCAAAGTCTTATTAAACTAGGTGAGCGATACGAAGAAGACTTTACCATTAGAAGCTAGAACTATGGAAGCATCTATCCGTTCAGTTCATGTTGGTGTGAGTGTAACCTTTGCTACTTACTATTTCCTCTTCTTTTCAATGTCAATAATGTATTTTTTAAAACTCTATTTTACTCTATAGAATTATGACGAAGAAACCAACACAGACGTGTAGGTTATATAGTAGAGAGAAAGAGAGAGAAAAGAAAAGAAAAATAGAGAGTCATAGTACCACCATTCATTCTAAACTGGGTTTTTTCAGCCACACATCTATCCTGACACATCTTCCCCTTATGAGAATCGTGGACGTATAATGCCGTTTGGCGATTGGTCTACTAATAAACGTGTTTAAATCAAAAACAGAATATGATAAGACGAAAGAAATAGAAAGTACGAAAGGAAAATCGCCAGTTTAATATGTCAAATTTCAATAGAACAGTTGACATATAACGATACACGAACTCTGCTCAGATGATTACCTTTTTAGCTCTTTGAAAGCAGTTAACAATTTGTATCTACTTTCACTTGTCCCATCCAGTACCGTATGTTTTTATTATTTAATAAATATTCCATAGTTTCTTTCTCCATTTCTTTCTTACGCACTAATTCCGATAATAATATCTCATATATTAATATATTAAATAAAATTAAAGTTTATCGGTATTCGTATTCAAATATATCCCTTAAGAATAAATAGTTGAAGATATGCAAAATTAGTCGCTCTTTTCAAATACAAGAATTGTCTTTGTGTGATACACTTTGCTGCATATTCATTCGTACATTAATGAATTATCTAGCCCAAGAAAAAACTGTCTATTAGTTATCTACCATAGCACTATTATGGGCGTGAAAATAAGTACGAATCCTCATATAAATAGAGGGCGGCTGTATACTACTAGTTAAGAGTGATACTGACCGGTAAAGTATTGCACAGCTTGAATCGTTGTACATGATATACGACAGAACGTCAAAGTTTACATTGGAGTTTTTTCTGCAGAAGTGAAATTTGTTCGATTCTGTCTGTTGTCTGAACAAGGATTATCTTTGTGTGATACACTTTGCTCCATATTCATTCGTGCTTGATTGCCAGTAATAATTTGTTTTCAATAGGAAATACGAATGGAATTTTTTTCAAATATACTAAGGAATACAGCTCGGTGAGCTGATATGGGCGAAAGAATGCTTAAAAGTAAATAAAACCGTGCTTTTTTATCAAAAAGCCAATTCAGATCTAAGTTTTCACCGCTATCATCAAAAAATAGCTAGATGTTTTTGATATTTTTTAACTTTCTTTCTGTATGGTTTCGAGTCAATCACCTTTACTGCAAACTTTATTGCAATCAATAACCCGTAAAAAATGACGCAAGAAACATTAGAAAGCGAGTTACATTTCATTCCCTACAGACGTGGGTCATAGTCGTCCTCTCCTTATTTACTCGGTCTATCAGTATTGTATCATTATCTTCTCTTTTCTTGTTTTCAGCTATATAGGATCTCCACTGCCTGTTCTGATTTTGTTCAATACATAGATAAACCGTAACTTCTAAATGTGAAGAAGGCAACGGTTTTTTTAATAAACCTAATAATTAATGCAGTTGTTTTGAATTTTATCCTTTATTTTCTTCGACAGTGCGACTTTTATTGGGCCATTGTCAATGTAAACCGATGTTTAACAAATGAAAAGTATATTATAGCATTCTTACGCGTTGCTCACGCCAAAACATGATAAGGAAAATAAAGAGAAAAGAAACATGCCAGTTTCGGAAATGCTTTTTTTATTTCTCTTCGCTTTTCATATGGGCATATAAAATAATTTTGGCGTATGAAGCGAAAAAGAATTCAAGAATGTCTTTTTCCGGAGAAACACGTAGTAACATAGAAAAATTGACTGTTTTCGATTTTGATTAAATTTCTTTTTGGTTTGAATGTGATGTTTGTGTTCAGAGTTAAAACTGCATCTGACAATGTATGGTTTCGCCTAAAAGGCGAACAAGATGTTTTCTTATCTTTGCAATCTGGTTAATCTGTAGGATTCGGGTAATAAAATGAACGACAACACTATAAACTAACGAGATTCATAAATGTCCCAAGTAACTTCGTTACATCACATCTTAAATATGAGGTTATAATGACAAAAGTATAGTCATAGTACGAATTTAACTATTTTACTGTAAATAACATTGAATAGCCAGCAGTCTTTCAAAAAATTAGTAGCTCGGCTCAAGAGTGTCGTACGACTTCAGTCAATTTCTAAATCTTCCCATCTTTTAGGCAGCTTGATGTTGTAGAACAGAGAGCGTAAGTAATCGAACTCGTTCAAGTAAAGATGATAGTAAATTTTCGAATATCCTCGTTCCGTCATAGAAATCGTGTAGACTATGGCAAGTGTAAAAGATTGAAAAAATTTTGGATAATAGGAAGATCCGTTAGACAAATAAAGAAATAGTAGAGCTTGGCAGTTAAAAAGAACGAGATTGATTCTCATTCGTTCTGTTCTTTTCTCTGATCTAGGAATCATTTTTGCGTTACAAGCATTCATTTCTTTTCCTTGTAACACAAAAATGAGCCGCATATAGAGAAAAAGAATAAAATGAATAAGAATCAATCTCTTTCTTTGTTTTTTACTTTCCATATATTGTTGCTATGTCAACTATTGATTGACAATAATAATTTATTTTCAATAGGAAATACGAATGGAATTTTTTTTTCAAATATACTAACCCTAGACAAAATTTATTAGTATGAATTTCGTAGTTTCATAGTTTGACGTTATCATAGTATCATGGCTTGAGTTCCATAGTTTCATAGTATCATAGTACCACAGTATGACTTTCACAGTTTCACAGTATGAATTTCATAGTTGCGTAGTCTGACGTTATCACAGTATCATAGTATGAGTTCCATAGTTCCATAGTTTTACAGTATCATTGTACCACAGTATGAGCTTCATAGTTGCATAGTTTCACAGTGTCATAGTATGAGTTCCACAGTTTCACAGTATCATAGTATCATATTATGAGTTTCATAGTTCGATAGTTTCACAGTATCGTAGTATGACTTTCATAGTTTCACGGTGTCATGGTATCATAATATGACTTCCACTTTCCAGTGTTATAGTTTCACAGTATTGCAGTAAAAGTATGAATTTCACAGTATCACTTCAAATACGGCCAAAGCTGACTAGCCGGTGGCGGAGGGCGAGGGGGTTCGGTAGTACGAGGTTGAGTTACAAGCACAAGCAGTGAAAGTCGTACCATGATACTGTGTAACGGATACTATGATACTGTGAAACCATGAATGTCGTACTGTGGTAGTGTGTAGCTGTGGAACTATACAGCCGTACTATGATACTGTGATAGTGTGAAAGTGGTACTATAATACTGTTAAAGTATGAAACTATGGAAGTCATACTATGATACTGTGTTGCGTTGGTATTAGTGTGATATGTGGATACTGTGAAGTTGGCAAAAACCAAGGTCAGAGATTGTTCGTACACTTTCAAAAAACTGGCGTCCCAGAATTGAATTTCCAAGAGAACTTTTGCCTATAAATAGAAATACAAATTAAAAGTATTAAAAATCAAAAGAGCTGTCAATGTGAGAGTAAGTAAGTTCAAAAC